TTGATCTTGATTCTCTCTTTCAACACTGACAATAAGATTAAGATACAGTCTCTCTTTGATCTTCCCTAATGTAGTTTTTAAAAGTTTAAGTCCAAAGAATGGTGCATTCATGACCTTGTCTCCTCACAAGGAACAACAGTAATGAACACACTCAAGAACCTGTCTCCTCACAAGGAACACAAGTATTGAGTAGCACCATATCTTAGACTGTAAAAGTTGAGAAAAAGAAGTGAAAAATCGAAAATATCCAAAGGAAGAGATCAGAGAAAGAGAAAATAGGAGAGCTGTGTTGAGATTGATTTGTTCAGTTGTTAGGAAGGGAAAAGAATCTGTAAGTGATTGAGATGATAGAACCTTGATAAGATATCACACTTAGATAAAAATAAGGAGTTAACAGCAGAAATTTCGGATTTCTTAAAGGGTTTTTGGACTGGACTTGAGAGATTTGCTAAGGTTGAGATGATTAAACTGAAATTTGATCCTGTGTTGACTCTGTGGTATGTGGATTTGAAAGTTCTAACTAATGTGGTGTTCCTGATGATTGACTGATTGTTTCTTGTTTTCAAACCTCGACCTTATTCTCTGTCTGATGTTTGCTTGAGGGCAAGCAAAAGCTAAGTCTGGGGGAATTGATATATCATGGTTTTTAATGAGTCTTTTTGGTCTTTTTAGAGTCCTAGTAGAGTCTTTGCAGGTTATAGCATGTCTGGAGTATAATTGGAGATATTGAAGCTTTTTGGAGCATTGCAAGTTGAAGCCACGAAGTACCTCACTCAGGAAGAAAAGTATGCATATGGGTGACGCTCGTCACCCAGAAAGGAAGGGGTCGTGGCCTGTTTTTAAAAGATTGGGAAGAAATTGCAGTTTTGGCCCAGAAGTTCCAATATTTGCAAAAGGTCCCAAATCGTGTTTTAGCTTGTATATTAGTTTTTTCAGCCATTCTTTTGGCAGATATCTTGTATCTTATAATTCTAGAGAGCTTTTAGAGAGAGATTTGTAGAAGAGCTTTTTGGAGGGACAAATCAGACTCCTTCAGAGCAGATTTCGAACTCCTTCATCTTTACTTCTTATTTCTTTTATGCAATCTATTCTTTTCATGATGTTTTCTCAAATCACCATGTCTGAGTAGTTTGTTAGTTAAGTTAGGGATTTTCAAGGGTTGATGAAGAGATTGTAGAATCGCTACCTGTTTAGGAATATCTTTTGGTTTTTCATCTCTGCTTGCTTTAAAATCGAATTTCTTAGAAACACCATCTAGAAATCCGAAAATCCTAGGTTGTTAAATATATGTGAGAGCATTATTCATAACCTGAACTAGTATTTGATGAGCAAAACAACTTAGTGCAAAGAGATTTGGCTTAGGAGTTTTGTAAACAATTGAATCTGATCATTTCTGCATGCTTAGGTTGTTAGGATTTGCAAAGAGATTTGAAACTCTGTGATTTAGGCATAGATAACTTCTGCAATGAGAATTGATTAGTTATACATCAGTGATTCATGTTTAAAACGGTTCTTAATCATTCCTGATTTCCTGCGTTCTACATTCTTGGATTCAACCTGCGAAATGTCCTGACTTAGCGCTTTTAGCTTTCTGAACTTTAAGAACAAGCATAAAACGCCCACTTGCATTTATTTTATTGTTTCGCATTACATTCATTACTTATTGCTTAGCTTAATCCGAACCTGAACTCTTTAGTGTAGTTTACTTACTCCTTTGGGATTCGATAACCCCTTATACTACGACTGATTTGCTGTGCACTTGCAGTAGTTTTTATTTGGGTAAAACCTGAGCCCTATCACATAACATAAGTCGATAAGCAAACAAGTCTACCGCAACCACAAGCAAACAAGTCTACCACAACCACAATATAATAACCAAAAAATTCTATCATAACATAACTCGATAAGCAAACAAGTCTACCACAACCACAAGCAAACAAATCTACCACCATGATTCTTTACCTAATCTACAATCAACCAAAACCTACAACTCGATAAGCAAACAAATCTACCACCATGATTCTTTACCTAATCTACAATCAACCAAAACCTACAAATCGATAAGCAAACAAATCTATCATCATGATTCTTCGCCTAATCTACAATCAACCAAAACCTACACATATATTTCTCACGTACAACCATTGTCAAATCCCCAATATAAGTGAACAGATCTTCTTGTTAGGCTGCATACGTAATTCCTCCACCAACACTTTCTCTAAGTTGTACCAATCCCTGCACGATTTCCATCGAAGTAGAGGACAAGTAAATAACTCGGGATTGTTTTCAAGTCTCCCAAATTTTTCACCCAATGTTGCCACAGACTCATATGCCCAAATGAGAAGGGCGTGGACACATCCTTGGAACATGTAGCTAAGACCTCCCAATGATGCAATTTTAACCGACGAAATTCACTGCTTAAAGCTGACACGACCCCACGGATAACTCTCAAAAGCTGCCTCATCCAACACTCTTTTAGCACGATCCAAAGGGATTCGTGAATTCCGATGAATACCAAATATGGCTACATGAAATGTGAATAGCAAGCCAACCATCTTCTTCTTCGCGGACGACCATGTACTGCATATTTCAAAAACAGCAACCAACACATGCCAATTTGGCCCGGACCCTGTACTCACACCCATCTCTTTCCAGAACTCTCTATGATCAATGTCCCACTCATCATCAGCAAAGGGCTCACAGTTTAGGCCAGTGATCTCACGAAACTCGTGAAGCGTAAACCGCAATGGACGCCCACCAATAAGTGACCAGATTTTGTAACTCCTTTGCACCGCCAATTGGTTTGTTATGAAGTGATGTACCGTACTCCTAGCCCATATGTAAGCTTCAATATCACGCCAACCTGAGAACCGAGCATAATGTCATTGTAGACATCCTCTTTAACACCCTTAAGCAGCAACCCAAAGTTCGACAAATGAAAATAATGATTCAAACTTCTCTTTTGCACAGGAGATTTCCAAGGCGGAAACAATCTCAGTGGGTACTCTGGCTTTCGCCCACTCTTATCATTTGAAGATGCCATCTAACCTGCAAAAACTTAACATATATATCAATCAATACATCTATCAAACAAATCTACCACCAATACATAAGCTATCAAATAAATCTACCACTGATACAAAAGCTATCAAACAAACAAATCTACCACCAATACAAAAGCTATCAAACAAATCTATCACCAATACAAAAGCTATCAAACAAATCTACCACCAATACAAAAGCTATCAAACAAATCTACCACCACGACCATCCTCAATACCAATAAAATCTAAGCTATCAAACAAATCTACCACCATTATATACAATATATCAAACAAATCTACCACCACGACCATCCTCAATACCAACAAAAACATAATCTGTCAAACTAATCTACCACCATTACCGACATATATTAAAAATCTACCATGACGACTCTGTAAATCCTCACCGGAATAATTTTTCTGGTCAACTTTGTACCAATCCGAGCCCGCAAATACGATATATTTGTATAAAAAAGATAAGTTACAGTTAATTTTTCATAGTTAGTGTCCTCAAAAATCCTGATAAATACAGCAAAGTGGTAACCAACAAAAATTTGCTGGCGGCGGACCTTAGATTTGACGATGTAGAGGTAAAACTCCTCTCAGTTTGGTCGATAGACACTTAGTTTTCTGCAATAAACGAACTTGCTCTTAGATTTGAAGCTCAGATTCAAAACTGCCAGAAATTAAACATCTACAAGATGCTACATTTGCTCTACTGATGCTGTGACCAGACCTCCCAAATAATTCCTTAACGGATTCCGATCCCTCGCCTATAACGCTGCCGGAGATGAAAAAACTTTCTTTAGATTGGGCAAAAAATCACCTTGCTGTCGCAAACTTTTTTTTTTTTTTCTAGGTTTTGCTTTTTTTTTTTTTTTTTCTTTTTTCTTTCTTGTAACATTTTTGATGTTTTTTTGTTTATTTTATTACTAAAATGATATTTCAAAATTTTGGATTTTGATGTTTTTGCACAATTTTATAAAATTATTTTAATTAGTGAGTTGTAGAAAAATGTTATTCTAGTCAATACTCAATTTAATAAGATTGTTTTAGATAAATAACTCTATTTTTAATTTAATTAATTTAAAAACCCGCATTTTTACAACATTAAGCCTTTGCATCTCAGGCAAGGTACTGGGTAACGAGGTTCATGATCGATGTTTAGAGAAGCTTTGTCGTGATTTTATATTGCTATATGACAAACTAACGTATACCAAACTGAATGTGAAAAAGCTACACTCAGGAAATGTGAACTACCCCAACGGTTTTGTAAACAAAACAAAACAAGTCATGGGACCACTTTCTGTCTAAGGTTAATAGGTCATAAAAGCTTCTTCCCAATTAACTAGTGTGTTCATCACGCAAATTTTCGACAAGGTATTCATAATCCATTATTGCAATAAACTAATTTGTAATGTATGTTAATGTTATTATTGTCTGTGACGTTTTTTTTATTCATAACAAGGGAAAGATCTTTGGTTCATGATTCTCTCTATTGCTTGAATTTGTACTTTTCCCAAAATAATTTTTTAAAAAATTAAAAGTTGCAAAATGCAGAGAATCAGCAATTTGCACACATCAATCAAATATGAACTAATGAATTCATATAAATCATAATCCTCTTCGCAATGAAAAACTAGTGTGTTCGTTAAGCAAACCTTCGACAAGGTCATTATCCTCTAAGCAATAAACTAATTTGTTTTGTATGTCTATATCGTTTTATATATAACAAAGGATAAGATCTATGATTTACGATCTTTACAGCATGAATTTATACATTTTCCAAATTAAGATACACATTTGGATAAAAATCAGAAGTTTTGCAGTCTTGCACACATTACGCAAAAGATGAATGGATACAAACCAATTTTTGTTTTCATAGAAACATTACATTTTGGATAAAACATAGGCAACACTTATTCCTCCACAATTACGATACTTAGAACGGATCAGTCATTTACAATGTTCAAGCAAACCGGTTCCTTTGAATTTTTCCTCCATCAGTCCATCGATTCGAGCTGCCATCTCCGGAGCCAGACAGTTCTGCCAATCTCCGACCTTTCCCTTCCTAAAAAAGGCGCTATTCGGAATAAAAATCCCAGGAACACGCTCTTTGTGTTTCTCTTCTTTGTTGGCTTCGAGATTCTTCAACGTCTCGAAACTGCAAAGATCCACAACTTTCTCAACAATCCCTTTCTCCTCTTCCTCGGCTGTGAAACCAAAACCCATAAACTCAGCCAATCTCTTCACGTAAGGCAAAGGATCAGCTCTCATCGTCTCGTACTTGAGGAACAAAACCTGATCTGGATTCTCTTGGTAAGCTTTCCAGTACGACATGACATGGTCTAGATAAGGTCCGTACCAAGAGAAGCCTCGACAAAACATATCAAAACTCTCCTCAAGGTTATTTAGAGAGCCATGGTTAGACCTTTGCTTTTGAATGAAATTCCACATGGAGACAAAAGTGTCCTTTGGGTCTCTCAAGATGTAAACCATCTTACAACCCGATTTCGAAATCGATTCCGGTAATAATCCATGTGGGAGATGAGTTGCAAACAGAGTGTTCCCTTTGTCATTGAGAACATCATCTTGAGGGAAGAAAGGAAAATCGGTCTCAATGAAAGGAACAAGCTCGTGAGGGTTACGTTTTATGAGAGGGTTTGAAGAATGGTCAAAGGGAGATCGATTTGCGATGGTGAAAGTTAAAGCTTTGAGCCAAGTGGTACCTGACTTTGGATAGCTACAAACGAAGAAGTCAATGGGTCGCGCTTGGAAGAATTCTTGCGTGTAAAGCCAACCTTCGAGGAGAGGCTGTACTGTCCAGTGACCACCGTAGCCGATATAGGGAGCATTTGCGAACCAGCCTTTCGCGTGAGGTAACGTTGCGATTAGATCTTGGTACCGTTTCTGGTTCTTCTTGAACTCTGTTGGCCCTTTCTTGGTCTCTTGAAGGTGGTTCGGTAGGGTCGTATCGGTTATAGTTTTTGATTCCATTGGAGACATATAGAGAAAGAGGATATTGTGAGGACTCGTCTTGGGTTCTGTGGGAGTTGAGTTATATGGTCTGTGTCCGGAATCCGGATGAAGTCTGGATTGGGTTCAGTCTTGCATGAAGCTATATGTACCCACGTGTAACGTGTTACATTAGAATCTTGTAAGAGTAACCGAAAGAAAGAGATTGAATTTATTTATGCATGAGGGAGGGCCTGAGGCTATCTGTACCCACGTGTAACGTGTTACGTAATTACATTAGAAATCCTAATTTAGAATGTTTGTAATTTACAACTTGTAACCGAAAGAAAGAGGCAATTGTAAAATTTATCTTTCTAATTAAGTAATTAGAGGAGAAATTATATAAACTAATATTCGATAAATTAATAAATTTCTTATTTTAAATTAAACCGATTTAAAATTTAACATAAATGATAAGATTTAGTAACACCTAGAGCAACAACAGATCAAATTACTATATTTGAAAAAACTTCTGACTATCAATATTTTTTTTTACTGATGTCAAGATAGATCCATTATTTTGATTTGATAAACTTCCTTACATGCCTAATATACGATTTAGACTTATATCTAATAGACCAGTGATTTTGGCTAACTTTTTAAATTTTACTAATAACCAAATCGGTAGTTTGAACATTTATGTCAACACTTAATTTTAGCTCTTCTTATTTGTCTTTTATTACCTGCACTGGTCTCTTTCTTTTGATTAAGAAGGTTAGCGAAAAAAAAACGAAAACAAAACGAAAAAAAGATTTGAGGTCACAGGATCACCACTTTCTGTCTAAGGAAGAGATTAACTAGTGTGGAAAAAGATTAAAATTAACTCGTGTTAATAATTAATTCAGCATGTTATTATTGTCTGTATCGTTTTATTTTCTAGCAAGGGAAAGATTTTTGATTTACAATCCTTATTATATATTGCTTGAATTTATATCTTTTAATAAAAAATCACTTGGATAAAAATTACAAGTTGCATTTTCACGCATCAAGCAAAAGATGAAGGACTATAAAACCAAATTTTGTTTTCATAGAAACAGTACATTTTGGATAAAGACATATCAAAGGGGCAAAACTTCTTCTTCCAACTAAAGATCATCTAAGTTTATAAAGATCAATCATTTACAATGTTCAAGCAAACCGGTGCCCTTGAATGTCTCTTCCATCAACCCATCGATTCGAACAGCCATCTCGGGAGTCAGATAGTTCTGCCAATCTCCGACCTTTCCTTTCCTGAAATATGCGCTATTCGGATAAAAGCCAGAAGGAATGTATTTCTCTCCCTTGTTGGCTTCAAGATTCTTCAACGTCTCGAAACTGCAAAGATCCACAACTCTCTCAACAATCCCTTTCTCCTCTTCCTCAGCTGTGAATCCAAAACCCATAAACTCAGCTAATCTCTTCACATACGGCAAAGGATCAGCTCTCATTGTCTCGTACTTGAGAAACAGAATCTGATCTGGATTTTCTTGGTAAGCTTTCCAGTACGACATGACATGATCTAGATAAGGACCGTACGCAGAAAAACCTCGACAGAACATATCAAAAGACTCCTCAAGACTATTGAGAGGGCCATTGTCAGACCTTTCCTTTTGGAAGAAACTCCACATGGAGACAAATGTGTCCTTTGGGTCTCTCCAGATGTAAACCATCTTACAACCCGATTCCAAAATCGATTCGGGTAATAAACCATGTGGGAGATGAGTCGCAAACAGAGTGTTCCCTTTGTCATTAAGAACATCATTTTGAGGGAACAAAGGAAACTTGGCCTCCAAGAAAGGAACGAGCTCGTGAGGGTTGAGTTTTAGGAGAGGGTTTGAAGAATGGTCAAAGCGAGATCGGTTTGCGATGGCGAAAGTTAGAGCTTTGAGCCAAGTGGTACCTGACTTTGGGTAGCTACAAACGAAAAAATCAATGGGTCGCGCTTGGAAGAATTCTTGCGTGTAAAGCCAACCTTCAAGTAGACGTTGCACTATCCAGTAGCCACCGTAACCGATCAGCGGAGCTTTCGGTCTCCAGCCTTTTGCCTGAGGGAACGTGGAGATTCGATCTTGGTACCATTTCTGATTCTTCTTGAACTCTGTTGACCCTTTCTTGGTCTCGTCTTGAGTTAAAGTTTTTGATTCCATTGGAGATAGAGAAAGAGGATTTTTTTTTTTGCTCTGATGCCATGTAAAAGGTGTAGTGAACAGATTCATTTCCATTAACAAATACATGACAATATATATACACACGCCTAGAGATCGATCTCTTGTAGAGACTAGAGTGTCCAGACAAAGATTGGATTGCGTGTTTAATCATGATGCTATTTTATTCCCACGCGTGTTAATATGTCATAACCTCAAATGCCACCTACCCTTCTTAGTGTCATAATCTCAGCCATCTCCAGAGAATTGGACCGAGACCATCTTTAGAGATACAGATTGATTCATTCCTCCATAGCTTCTTCACCAGCCACTTCTACTACAACTTCGACTCGCCCAGATAAATGGCGTGATTTTGGTGAGCAGAACCTCTGTTTCCACAGAGAAAGAAAACAGTAAGAAAAAGATAATTATCGAGCGAATTTTAAAAGTTTGAGACTTCAATAACTCACTAATCACTGAAGATTGAGACCCGAAACAATCAAGTATATTTCTTACCAGTTTTCTTGGTGAATGAATAGCCTTTGCTGCTAACATAGGTTCTTGGATTTAGCTCCATGTAATTACTTAGGTATTCTTTATGCCCCTGTCCCAAAATCATCTCAAAACAGTAAGTTTTAAAGTAAAAGGTAAAAGACATAGCTAATCCTAATTGTTGGTTTTGTGACTAACCACTCTAGTCAATATCTGTCAGGTAATAAACAGACCCGTAACGAGCCACAACATGATGAAAAGGCTCAAGCATCGTGCGAGTCAGACACAGAGGAAGATGGAGAATGACAAACCTTTGTGATCACACAGATCCACATTGCTACCACTTCTCAAGTCGTTGAATATACCCGAGCATATTGCTAGAGCAACCAACTTGATGAATTTGGTGTCAAAGAATAAAACATACAAAATCTGAAAAGTGTAAAGATAAATGTCTCTGCTGTACTTACAGTTAGACCTTCTTTATACTTTGCCTCAAACACTGACATGGCAGCAAGAGAACCAGAGCCCATTGTAGCGAATGGTTGTGTGTCAGTGGAACCGTGGGGGTATATCTACATATTAACCAAAGCGTTAGAGATGAATACACTATGAAAGAACCTGAACTCAGATATTTGATCAGGACTTTAAAACTCACTGTATGAAGATGAGGCCCGGTGATATCAACTCCACCAAGCACAAGAGCAGCTGAGACATGACCTTGATAGCTGAAACGATACTTGAGCCGATCTTAGTAAAGATAACACGAGTTTCTGGTGGTCATGATAAAGCAAAAATACCTGAAAAGGTGTTTCTTGAGAAGGGTCAAAGCAGTAATGGCCAGTCTGGAATCTATGTAACCGCAACTGCGAGCTGACCATATCTGAACAGAGATAGAAATCAAAATATATACGCATTGAGTTTTGATCGAGTTACACAAAATTTCAAAGAGATAAAAAAAATTTGGTTGCTAAGAATTACCAGTTACTGCTTCGGTGTTAGCAGCGGTTCCTGCACCACAACAGTAAATGTCTGGTGCCATATAGTGAATCTTCTCACAGTTCTTATCAGCAACAATGGGCCCTTCAGTTTCCCGTGTATCAGCACCAAGTATCACACCATCCTATACAAAAAAGTCAGAACCGTATGTCTTCTATTGCAGAGTCTGAAAAGAGAAGATCAAGAACACAGGATAGCATAGTTCATGAAGAGCTCTAATAAAAAGCAACAACAATTCATATACTTTCATGTTCCCATCAAACATTCTCACCAGGTGCTGGATCCATTGATACTCGGCCTATGTGCTCCACAATTTCAATCCAAAACCCTTCTCTTTGTGGTATATATGCAACTTTTTGCATCAATTCATTCCAATGAACCGGAAATTCTCAGAACCTGAGTCTGTGTAAGTCATTTTGTCTATTTTGGAACCATGGAACGTGGGCATTAACTTTCAGTGGCATGGAGAGTTCCGGTTCATTAAATGGATTGATGCAAAAGGTTGCATATCTTTAACATACCAAAAAGGCAATGTTAGTCCAAAGAAAATACTTTCTTTGCTAACTAATTTGTTAGCATTTGCATCTTATCACCTTGAGTCACTTTTCACTTCCATAACTTGCAAACAGCCATTAAAGGTGAACTTACTATCCAACAATTACACTAAGCCAACACACACAAAAGCTATGTGTTTTGGAGTATTGTGAGAGAAACACAGAACCTGGAAAATCAACCCAACGATAGTTGTTCCAGTCTTGAGAAATCCCAAGAAAACCCAAAATCCCTTTTTTTTTTGCCTTTAGAAAACTCAAATCCTTAATCTCTGATTTTCCAATGCCAGCTATCGATCTCTAAGAACAATTTCATAATCCTAAGATAAGACTAATTTCCTTTTTCTTCTTTGTGTTTGATTATCCAGTTCCACGGCATTGATCACTTGACCCAAAATGTTGCATCTTCACGAGAAAGCTAGATGATGGGCTTAATCGTGTCAAGAATAGAGAATCCACGGAAAGGAGAGAGATGTAATGAGACTTAAGAAGAAAAGAGAAAACCCAATTTTACAAAATAGTAAATTTACCTTTGATGTGACGATTTCGATTTGCGAGAAGAAGAAAGCTCGTCGTCGAATGAAGGAGATACCAAGTAGAAGAAGAAGAAAGAGTTGGAGCGAAGCTTGCAGAGTGCGTAGGCATTTCGGTTTAATTTCGATTTCGATTTTGGTCCGGTTCGGTTATTGCAGATTTTGGTCTGGTCCGATTCGATTTGTATTCGGTCAGTTAAATTTCAACAATTTCAGCTATTTGTTCCCCTTTCCTTCAACTATTTCATAAACCCTACCATTCTGGATTGAAAAGCATATTGTTGCATCAGAATCAGCTTTTAGGGTTCTCAATGTTCGTGCCTTTTCGCTAACTTTTCATCATATTTGGGAAGAAATTCACTTGGGTTTTGGATTCTCTTCTTGAATAGATGAGACCTTCTATTTGTCGCCGGCTGCGATTGGTAAAAGACGAAAGCAAGTTGATTTCAATCAAACAATTTTGTTTTCATCTTTTGTGGAATTTTTATTTTACATTGGGCTTGGGTTTTTTTTTGTATACAGGTGTCTTTCTGCTTACTCTAATGTATATAGTAATGGCGATTATTTATCCTTGTATCTAGAACTTGTGCATGGATCTTCACCACCAGAATGGACAAGAAACGTGCAATTTATCTTTACTCTTGTGAATAAGCTCTGGCCTAACCCTAAATCGAACAGAGTATCAGGTGATTCTTGATTTGGCTTAAGAATCTCTTTCTTGGGTTTGTAATTCTGCTATGTGTGTTGATTTGTTCCTACATTTTAAGCTTTATGGTTATTGTCATGTGATTTCAGTAGAATCTCTCTATATTTTGCTAATTTTTTTATGGAAAGTTTTGATTTTTATTTGTTTGGGTTTTGGATATGATAGGAGGGTGATGCTCTTTCGAATGCAAAGAGAAACATTTGGGGGTTTTAGCAAGTTTTTGTCACTTGAAAAACTTCGTGATAAATGTGGAGGGTTTCTGGTGAACAAGAGACTCGTTATCATCGCTGAAGTAAAAGTTCTTCCAGCTACTGTTAGCCTAATGGGACCCTGTGAGGATCACTGCATCTTCTCTGAGTGGCAAAGAAGGAAATTAAGCTTCTGATGCATCTATTGCCAATTCTCAAGTAGTGCAAGAAACTGAGAATGCATCTAACAAGAATCTTTACTATGATGAGGATGATGCTGATGATGTATCTGAAGAGAGTGTGGATGATGATGATGATGATGGTGCACATAAAGAAGATGTTGATGACGAGGCTTCATCTGTTGTTACCAAAGATAATGCTGCAAACGGAAGTTTTCTAGACCAGGTGAAGTCCTTGGAGAACGCCTCTAAAACAGTACAGAATGGTGATAAGAGGTTTAACACTGTGGTGGCATCTATTCCACAGGAGACTTGTAGTGATGTTCTTGGTCAGGATATTCAAACTGTAAAGGAAACAATGGATGTCAATGGCTTTGAGGTTTTGGCTTTCCAGGTAAGAAGAGGATTCATCTTCTATTGTTATCATTAGTGAGAAAGTTCTAAATTGAAACCTAAAGTTGTGAAAGCACGACATTGCACTGACATACTTGAAAGACGCAGACTTTAAGGTGGATTGGTTAGAGAAGAAGCTGGACCAGCTAAAGGATAACAAAGAGAAAGTTAAGTCTGGTTTGACCCGGCTCCAAGAAATAGAGGAAAATCTGCTGAATCTGAAGCTACAGTAGTGAGAGATGGATGATCTTGCAAAGATGGAGAAGTCAGAGTTGTTAGCCAGCAGAACTGCTCTGTCTTTCGATACTCACTATAGTGGCCCACCTCTTCAGCTTCCTCCTCCTCCACATCAGTTACCACTTTCTTCCCCCTACTAGAGCGAGGCCTCTTTACACGGCACTTGTCTGCACTTTTGCTTACTCGAAACCCCCTTTTTTCGATTGAAAATATGTCTTTTGTAGTAACCAACTGGCGGCTTTGCCTTATACTGCAAAAGAGGCAAAGCATCATCACCTTTGGACCAATCAGTTTTCTTAAAACCTCTACCTTCCCTTACCTTGCCAATTAGGTACTTCACTCCCTTATCTTTGTTTTCATCATCCCATTTTCTCCACTCTGCTGGAAAATCTATTGTCAATAATGGATTAACCACAAGCTGCAAAGTCATTCAAAAATATTCAATCTTCAGCATTTGGACAAAAGATGGAACATACAATAAATTTTAAACAATTCGCCACTTATCGCTCAATCTGCTTCGACACAATGAACTAATTTTAAAGTCAGAAATCCATAGTTAGGAATCATTGGATCAGGATGTTCAAGAAATGTTGCATGCTCTTCCTTGTTATTAAGCCTCTTCAACATGCCTGAAATTAGTTCAAAGGTTAACAACTGCAACGCCACAGCAAATCCGCATACCCGCATCAACACTGAACCAAGCTGCTTTCTAAACGCTTTCTCCCGCTTATCTAGACTTATTACCTCTGGCATCATGGTCCCAATCCCCCGAATAAACGACTCCCTCCCCTAGGGAAACTTGAGAAATGCTTCCACATCAGCCACAAGTCTTACGTACCTAGAGGTAGAGCGGTGCACAGCAGTGTTTGCGATCAATACACCATCAACTATACAGATAAGTGCTAGTTAGAGTCTTCTTCTAGGGTCCATCTAATCACGTCCCTTCTCAAGAATTGTGGCAATATCAGCAATAGTGGTTGTTGACACATTTGAAATAGTCCCTCGCCAAGCTTTGTTTGGCTCCCATTTGCTATTGAATTGAGGGAAATCGGGGTAGTGACCCTCAGCGAACTCACCACAGGGTAATCCAGTCAATGCTCTAAAGTCAGCCAATAAGTACTGAAATGGATGTCCACCCAACACCATCCACAACTCGTATTTTTTATTAGTTACCATCTGCCTGGACAGAAGGGCATGGATGAGCATACACGAAATGGGAATCATTCCTAACGGGATATCGTATGGCCTTCCAAAACACGAGTTGCGGATCTGCGTCCACTCAAGGGTCCCTTCCAGCTGGTGTCTGACAAATGCCATAATGTCAAGCTTCGAATATACATTAAGCTTAGCATTCGAGTACTGGTCGGTTGCAAACAACCCCCTCGGTAGTTTTCTGTCCGTTTACAGAGGTGAAATTCCTGCATACAAATCGGGAACATGATCAAAACTGGACATTTAGTTGTAGTCATCGACAAAATTTAATTTTTACACTGTTTTTTTTTTTTTCCAAACAAATTTTTAAATTAAAGCTAAAAGCATCAATCGATTGTCTCACTTACTAAACGATAGGCATCTATCATATTTTTTTGAGGATCAAATAAAACAAATTAGTACTGCACCGGTCTCAACAGAACCAAATCGCATATTTTCAAGGCAGAAATTGATCAAAATTAACAGCTCCACAGACAACTGCGGCCGGGACAGCAAAAAAAAATATTTACTGGCGCCTTACCTTCCATTAAAGCGAAACCTATATTTCCAAATCTTATCACAATTGTTTTATTACAACACTTCCGCTGATTGATTTTCCTTCTCACACCTCACCCTTTCCTCACTCCGGTTGCTAGGTTAAGTTTTTATGCGGCGGCGGAGTTTTTCAAGAAAATTACAAACCCAGTAAAAATTATTAACCCCAGCAACTATATCTGCCCTGACGAGTAAAAGGACCCGACCCCACCCGTTGAGGTAGATATAGTTGCTGAGGTTAATAGTTTTTACTGGGTTTGTCATTTTCTTGAAAAATTATGCTGCCGCATGAAAGTTTAACCTACCAACCAGAGTGTGGAAATGGCGAGGTCTGAGAGGAAAAATCAATCAGCGGAAGGGTTGTAATAAAACAATTGTAATAAAATTTAGAGTTTTAGATCTCTTTAATTGAAGGTAAGGCGCCAATAAATATTTTTTGTTGTTGTCTGTAGATCTGTTAATTTTGATCGATTTCTGGCATTAAAATATGCGATTTGGTTCCGTTGAGACCGACACGATACTAATTTGTTTTATTTAACCCTAAAAAATTTGATAAATGCTTATTGTTTAGTAAGTGAAACAATCGATTGACACATTTCGTTTTGATTTAAAAATTTGTTTGAAAACAAAAAAAAAACTGTATAAAAATAAAATTTTGTCAATGACCATAACTAACTGCCCATCTTTGATCATATTCCCGATTTGTATGCAGGAACTTCACCTCTGCAGTCGGACGGGAAACTACCAAGGCGCTTGTTTGCAACCGACCGGTACCCGAATGGTAAGCTTAATGTATATTCGAAGGTTGACATTTTGGCCTATATCAGACACCAGCTGGAAGGGATCCCTGAGTGGACACAGATCCGCAACTCATGTTTTGGGAGGCTGTACGATATCCCGTTGGGAAGAATTTTCATTTCTTGTAAGCTCATTCATGCCTTTCTGTCCAGGTAGTTGGTGACTAATAAAAATTACAAGTTGTGGATGGTGTTTGGTGGCCATCCGTTTCGGTACTCATTGACTGACTTTGGAACGTTGACTGGATTTCCTTGTGGTGAGTTCGCTGAGGGTCACTACCCCGATTTCCCTCAGTTCAACAGCAAATGGGAGCCAGACAAAGCTTGGCGAGAGATTATTTCAAATGTGTCAACAACCACTATTGCCACAATACTTGAAAAGAGACGTGACTGGATGGACTTTAAAAGGAGGTTCCAACTAGCACTTATTTGTATAGTGGACGGTGTATTGATCGCAAACACTGCTGTGCACCGCCTTACCCCTAGGTATGTAAGACTTGTGGCTGATCTGAAAGCATTTCTCAAGTCTCCCTAGGGGAGGGAGTCATTCATGAGGGGGATTGAGACCATGATGCATGAGGCTACAAGTCTACATAAGCGGGAGAAAGCATTGGAGACGTTTAGAAAGCAGCTTGGTTTGGTGTTGATGAGGGTATGTGGATTTGTTGTGGCGTTGTAGTTGTTAGCCTTTGAACTAATTTCAGGCCTGTTGGAGAGGCTTAAGAACAAGGAGGAGCATCCGACATTACTTGAACATCCTGATCCAAGGATTCTTATTTATAGATCTCTGACTTTAAAATCAGTTCATTGTGTCGAGGCAGATTCAGCTGTAAGTAGCAAATTATTTAAAATTTACTGTATGTTTAATCCTTTGTCCAAATGCTGAAGACTGATTAATTTTAAATGACATTGCAGCTCGTGGTTAGTCTACTGTTGACAATAGATTTCCTAACATAGTGGAGGAAATGGGATAATGAAAACACAGATAAAGGAGTGACGTAGTTAATTGGCAAAGTAAGGGAAGGTGTAGGTTTTAAGAAAGCTGATCGGCTCGAAAGTGATGCTGCTTTGCCTCTTTTGGAGTATAAAGCAAAGCCGCCAGTTGGTGACCATAAAAAGCGTATTTTCAATCGAAAGAGGGAAATTTTGAATAAGCCAAAAAGGTAGGCAAGTGCAGCTGGTTTCAAGAGGCATTGCCCTATTAGGGGGGTGGAGGGAAAGAAAGTGGTAACTGATGTGGAGGAAGCTGAAGAGGTTGCCACTATAGTCAGAGTTGTCAACCACCGTAATTTCTCCACTGGTTTTAAAATAACAGATTCTTTCGTAGGGGTAATTGAACTTTATGTTATTGAATATTGATGGTCTAGCAAAATCTCAGTTACCACATCTGTGTTCGTTTTCCTGTATAAAAACGCTGTGCATGAAACATAAGATTTTAGAAAGTTCATTGACTATATATATTTGCATGAAACATAAGATTTTAGAAAGTTCATTGACTATATATATTTGAAATGATAAATTACCCATATGTAGAAAGTTTGTCATGTGTTGCTTATGAATCATAGTGATTCTCGGTTATATTCACTCTTTTCTTGAGGTGTTTGGTATTAGAAACTCTATACACATATCTTTTTAGTTCAGTGAACCCTATACATATATCTTCTTATCTCGTATGCCCGAATCGCCATCTTAACTCTTCTTTCCTCCAAAACATATCCCTCCTGCTGCAGTCTCAAGACCATGACGAAGACCATATGGTGTTTCTTGGCGTGCAAGATACCGAGGCCTTGTTCTTGAACATGCAATCATGCATATGTAGATGAATCCCTCGTGTTGTTGTTTACGATAGAATCGATGATTCTAGCCAGAGTTACTGTCTGTATCACTTTATTTTCAACATGAGAAAGATCTTTAATCTGTGATTCTAGTTTCTTGAATTATATTTTCTTAAAATACATTTGGATAAAAATCACAAGTTGCAAAGCATCAAGACTGCACACTGACATCATGCAAAAATGAATGGCTTACAAAGCCAATTATTCGTTTTATAGAAACAGTACATTTTGACAAGACAGAAACAAGATGTATTCTTTCGATATACAACTTAATACACAGAATTAAACAAAAAAAAATATAAACTTAAGATTTAAACTTATATATGCTCAAGCAAACCGGTTCCTTTGAATTTCTCTTCCATCAATCCATCGATGCGAGCTGCCATCTTCGGTGTCAGATAATTCTGCCAATCTCCGATCTTTCCTTTCCTGAAAAATGCGCTATTCGGATAAGCACTAATAGGAACGTCCTCTCTGTGTTTCTCCCCTTTGTTTGCTTCAAGGTTCTTCAACGTCTCAAAGCTACAAAGATTCACCACTTCCTCATCAACCCCTTTCTTCTTTTCCTCAGATGTGAATCCATATCCCATAAACTCAGCCAATCTTCTCACGTAAGGC